TGAGTAAGGCTGAATTTCTGTCGTGTGCAGATAGTGACTCTATGGTACAGAGCGCCTGAGGTCCTTCTTGGATCCACTCATTACTCTACGGCTGTTGATATGTGGTCTGTTGGCTGTATATTTGGTGAGGAACTAATTTGAGGGTGTAAATTCTTTCTTTGTGTGTGGAAAATGAAATTAACTGACTAAATTGGCACTGTTTTTGGGCTTTTGCAGCTGAGATGGCTAGAAGGCAAGCTTTGTTTCCAGGAGATTCTGAGTTTCAGCAACTGCTCCATATTTTTAGGTGAGCTCCTTGTTTATATTTCCAGGTCCGAGTCAGTAGCTTATGCGACTTGTCTTAGCTTCGGAAAATTGGCTTGCTGAAATTTACCTTAGAAAATACGGATTTGAAAGATGCTACTTGTGTGATGAAAAGAATGACTGTTTAGTTTTCAGTAAGCTTGTATTTTGTAAATGTACAATGTTACTGAGTTATATAAAGAGAACTAAACAAAAACACAATGTTTCTTGTTGTTGTGGCAACTTGTTTATTAACTTGGAACATCAGATTGTGTTTGAGGGAAACAGTTAAGTATGATTTGAAGACATGGAAGAACACGCCTTACCCTTATGTATATTTTGCACCTGTATAAAAATGCATACTAAAGAAGATGGTGGAGAGAATTATATATACTGATAAAGACAAGTGATTTATCTAGTGATAGAACAATGAGCCCATCATGAATCATGTCGAGATTTGGAAAATGAACTATAATTGTGATTTGCATCTTCTGAAAAACTGATAAGTTGTTTCATATAAGTCCGATTTTATGGGTTTCTGTCCTTTAGTCTAAGTTCTAAAACTTGAGGATTATAGCTGTACGCTAATTGACACGAGTAAAAAAAAAAAAAAAACGGAAAACTGAAAACAAAATGCTATGATATAGAAGAAAAGAGTTTGCTGTCATGTGGAAAGGTATGCTGATTGCTGGATACGAATTTTCCTTTTCTTAAACCACTGAAAGTTCAAAATAAAAGTCAGTTTAACTTGTATATCACTGCAGGTTGCTAGGAACCCCAACTGAGAAGGAGTGGCCAGGTGTTAGCTCGTTGAGGGATTGGCATGTTTATCCTCAGTGGGAACCTCAGAACTTAGCTCTAGCAGTTCCAGCATTGGGACCAGATGGCGTTGACCTTTTATCGGTATCTCCATTTTGTTTTTATTCTGTTAGTGATGCAACTTGCCTGTTATGGAACTTTCTGAATGCTCTTTTTTTCCACTTCAAGTTCCATTTTAAGGGTTGGCTTAGATGATTGACCGAATCTTTTCTTTTCGAACTTCCATCTGAGTATTTGTGATGTTCAAGTTGAATGTAGAGTAGTATATATATTGTGTTGATGTTTTTGTCTTGTGTTATGCAGAAGATGCTGAGATATGATCCGGCTGACCGGATTTCGGCCAAAGCTGCTCTGGACCATCCCTATTTTAACAGCTTGGACAAATCTCAGTTCTGAAATCTTCTTTTCCAGCATTGTGAAGGAATTTAATTGTCTTTCAATTTCTGGGAAAAGGCAGTTGGAAGAATGTCATCATCTTGGTGATTTCAAGTCGTTCATTTGGCTTTTAACTTTAATTTGCATTGTATCCTTCAAACGCATCTTCAAACTGAAAGCAAACATTGTGGTGTTATCTTTTTCATGTTTTCAACATTGTGATGTTCTCTCCCTATTATTATCAATGTACTAAGTTTATTATAAATGTAATTGTTTGTGAGTGTATTGGCTTGTCACAAATGTATTTTAATGTTGGTCAAGTATAATATTGACTTTGCCTATAGATTAATCACATGCCTAGCATAACTAATTTGAGGAAAAATATATATTTTTAGCGTATATAACGTTCATTTTTATTCAACTAATTTTAAGTTGTACATGTTGAAAAATATGAATTCAAAGCGCTCAAAATTGAGTTTAAGTAGCTTAAAGGTTGATGGATTTGAGAGAATTTAGTCTTTGATGGATACTCGGGCAAGCTAACTGTTTGTTGCGCACCAGTCATGCTAGAACTCGAATAAAGCTCTTGGGGACGAATACAACTCAGCTGAGCGCTTGTTGCGGCTTGGACTCGGACGTAGGGATCCGCTATTGGCTCCATTGCGGTCCGTGATGAGCTTCAGCTCTCTTCATGGCCTTGAATATAAATGAAAAATAATTATGCTAATATAGATAAAAAAAATTTATAAAGAAAATATTTACAAATAAAATAGTTAACTTTTTGTTTACGACTTTGCTAAGAAATAAAAGTTAATCATATGCAAAATATAGATGAAAACTATTTCCCAATCAAATTCATGTTATAATTGGTCATAGATATAGATTTTTGCATTAAATTTACCCCGAGAGTAGTGCTGTTAAACAAATCGAGTCGCTTGTCCGCTCGGTTCAGCTTGTTTGATAAATGAGTCGAGCATAAGCTCGCATAAAGCTTGTTTCGTTAATGAGTCAGACTCGGCTCGACTCGATAAGGCTCGAAAAGATAGTTTTAATTTTCTATAGTTCGACTAGTTAAAGCTCGAGATCGACTCGTTAATATTGAAAAACGAGCTGAGCTCAAGCTCAATTCTAGCTCGTTTACTTAACGAGTCGAGCCGAACTCGGCTTGTTAAGGGCTCGAGCTCGGCTCGTTTACAGCTCTACCCGAGAGGCGTTGTTTTTCCCCAAAAATTATGCAAACACACAAATGACACAAATTTGAGAATCCTATACTATTTATTGTTCCAATATCCAAATTTTGCTGCACTTAGACCATCTCTCTACTCTAGAGTAGAGAAAGTCAAAATTCAAATTCTATCTCCAGCCCTTCGCGCTACATTATTTATTACCTTAATATGCATAATGAATGAACTAAATATGCATAATGTATTACAATTATTATACAATAATAAACAAAAATATTATACCAAATTAATTATTAACAAAAAAAACATTTTGACCGGTTTCAACCAAATGTGCAGTTGATATGAACTAAATATGTGTGCAGTTGATATGAACTAAATATGTATGCCAAAAATGAATCTTTTTTTTGAACTAAATATGCATTGTGAATCAAGTAAATGTGCACACGAATATGCATTTTATGTATGAATTGAATATGTATTTTTTATGAACTAAATGTGCAACAATAAAATCAACTAAGTATGCATTGTTCATGAACTAAATACATACTTAGTATGAACTAAGTGTGCATTTCGTATGAACTAAATATGTATGCTAAATACGCATTTGTTATAAACTAAATATGCATTGTGCATGAAGTAAATTTGCTCTTTAAATATGTAGTTTATATGAACTAAATATGCATTTGGTATGAACTGAATATCTATTTTTTATGAACTAAACGTGCAAAAATAATATTAACTAACTATGCACTGTTTATGAACTAAATATATACTACATATGAACTAAATGTGTAGTCAAAATATGCATTTAAAATTTTCTTTTATATAATTAATTTAAATTAATTATAATAATAATAATAATAATAATAATAATAATAATAATAATATAATAATAATAATAATAATAATAATAATAATAATAATAATAATTTTTTACTATATAACTAATGCAAAGTTTTATTGATTAATATGGGCCATTAATATGCACGGATAAATAGCTATGATTGGACCTCACATGAACTAAATATGCACTATGATGATCCAATATGCATGAATATGCATATTGAATTAACTAAATATTTAATAAGTATATAATAAAAATAAATAAGCATTACATCAAATTAATTATATAATAAATATACAACAATCATATCAACTAAGTATGTACTATGATGAACTATATATGTAATTTGTGTAAACTAAATGTGCATTCAGGAGATGACAACAGCAAAGGTATTCACTGAAAGAGGTGGGAGTTACTCTCTCTACCCAAATCAAAAGGTGGCCTAGGTTTTCTTGACATTAGGCTGTTTAATGAAGCACTCCTCTGTAAGCAGCTATGGAGAGTTGCAACAAATCCTAAACTTCTGGTCAGCAGGGTTCTAAAAGACAGATATTTTCCAGATGGCAACCTTCTTCATGCTGTAAAATCTTCCAAACGTTCCTGGATGTGGAACAGTTGGATGTCTGTCATACCGATGTTTACCAAATGGTTCAAGACTGAAATCAGAAATGGGGCATCAACAAAAGTAGACGACTTCCTAACCTCAACAAGCCAAAGCCTGACATGCTGGATATTGCACAGGAGCATTTGATATGGGTTAAGGAACTTCTGCTTCCCCATGGACAAGGTTGGAATGAATGGATTGTCAGGAAACTTTTCAATGCTCAAGACAGTGCTGCAATTTTGAAAGTCAGTTCTCTCAACCCTGACAGAGCAGATAAACAATATTGGGGACTTGATGCTAAGGGATGCTTCTCTGTTTACGGTACTTACTGCTATCTAACTTCTCAAAAAATTCTCAAACTTGACATTCCTGAAACCAGCTCCAATTCAGCTGCATCTCAGACACACATGCTCAGAGGTTAGAAACTGCACATACAGAGTAAGCTCAAACATTTATTATGGAAATGTCTCTCAGGCACCTTACCTGTTGCTGACTAATTCATAAAGGAGTGAATGTGGAAGATATTTGCACTATTTGTGGTGAAGGATCAGAAACTATTGAACATATACTTTTTTCCTGTCCTAGAGCCAACAAGCTTTGGGATTTGGCTCCAGTGCAATGGGATGGTTTGAATAATCTTACACACTCCTTCAAGATGTGGTGGCAGCAGCTCTGCACTCTAAAACACAATGAGGTGGCTGAGGCTAGAATCCAGTTGTCCACCTACTTGTTATGGTGGCTCTGGAAATCTAGGAATCTTTGGGTCTTCCAACACACACTTATGCCAATCCACATTGTCATCAAGGTTGCTCTCAAGGATTGGCATGATTATTCAGCTGCTATAGGTGTTTAAAGTTTCTATTTGGCAGTGTTTTGGCTATTTTGCTTTTGTTGGTTGTTGAAGCTTGTGAGTCCTAGCTAGGCCTTATGGCAGTGGGTAGGTTCATAGTTTCATTGTTTTCTTTTCCTTTATAGTTGCCATTGAGGTTCTAGGCCGCAATGTTTGCGTGCCTCTCAGTTTTATCTTTGGTTCTGTAGGCTAAATTTATGTTTATACTATTTTTCGTTTGAGTTATATATAAAACCCCTATCGTTCTGGTAAAAAAAAAAAATGTGCAACAATAATATCAACTGATTATGCATTATTTTTAAACTAAATATGTACTTCGTATAAACAAGATGTGCATTTCGTATGAACAAAATGTGCATTTCATATGAACTAATGCTCATTTTGCATGAACTAAATGTGCCACGAAAATATGCAATTAAATGTGCATCTTTTATGAACTAAACATGTATTTTTTATGAACTAAATGTTGTAGCAAATTATTTTTATTTTACCGAGCACCAAACCGAATGATTCGTTTCCCGGGTCGATCTCTCGAGGAAGACTGTTCGGAATTTAAAATTGGTGTTGATAACACATAAAAGCAAAATAAATCCTACACATTCTAATCATGATAGGGTTGGAAAATGATTAACTAAACTAATAACATAAAACGATAATCTATCTAAAAATATAAACGACACAAAGGTAAAGATGCTAGGGAATCGGGAATAAATATTTTGAATCGAAATGCAATCATCAGCTTGTGATTATTTGGTTAAAGAATTCGAGTCATCTATACGTTTAAAGGTTCATCCTCAATACCTTTCGGATTATGAGAATAAATATAAACGGCAAATTAACGAGTTGTTTAACACATAGACAATACCTTTTGGATTATGTCTATTTTGTATGAGTTTCGATCGATTGACCTTTCCCCTTTCGGTTCAAGAGTCGATTAAAATAGACTATAGGATGGTTAGTCGTCTAGTCTATTCGGATCGTGATCGTCACAAAAGAACACATCATATTCAATTTGAAAACAAGTTTAACATTGAAGTGTCACTCTTCAATACTTAGAAATCAATTGCAAGGTTGAATTGTCACTTTTCAACAATATGTCATTCCAAAGTGAAAATCAAAAACCGAATTTAGAATTAACTCATACAAAGTGAACAATCGACGAGTACGATAATCACATACGAAATCAAATATTCATCCCTATCCCTAGCAAATGATTTAGCTCTTTATATAAAAAATAAACTCAACATAAGATTTATTGCAAATTATCATTACAAGAAGGAAAACTTACAAATAATCCAAGTCGAGAAATAAGTACAAGCCAAATCAAAACGTCTTTGGAGAACACCTCCAACTTCAACACAAGAATAAAACTAATCTAGAAAGACACTAATATGAGAGTGATGGTATTAATGGTTTGGATGATTTTGGATAGGGGGAGAACCCCCTTGGGTGGTTCAAGGATGGGAGATGATGAATATATGGAGTGATTGAAGAAGTGAGGTGATTAAGTGGAAGAAAATGGAGGAAAATGAGGAAGGAATAAGGGAAAGATGTTCTTGGGGCCAAAAATCCCATTTTTCAGGTGAAATATTGGTCAAAAGAGCTCCCCACTCGAGCACAATGTCCCAAAATGAGTAGAAAACCAAATTTTGCACTTTCAGGCATCCGTGGCCGCGACTTATTTCGCGGCCGCGACTTTTTTCAGCTGAAAAAGTGATTCGCGGCCGCGACTTGCCTCCGCTGCCCGCGGTGAAGAAAACTGGACTGCATTGCGCGACTTTACGTTTTGGGCTCGTTTGGGCTCATCCGAACTCGAAATTGAGTTCCATTTTTT